CAAATTTAAATTCAGCCTTCCCGTACCCGCGGGTAACTCGTACGGCCCCATGAAAGTTTTTTACGGGTAAATCAATATCTCAGGAACCACGACGTTTAGGAGACTGAAATTTAGGGTAATAACTCCCTGCCCACGCTCAACCTTGCCTGTTCAAATCCAGCGGTTCTCTCGCTGTTGAGTATCATCTATGGCCTCGTGAGAATTTTGGCGTCTAAACTATTAACTAGGGAATCACGGAAATATATTCACCCTTCAAGGTTTCGAATTCAGCTTTCTTGCGCTGATGCGTGAAATTTTTAACTGTTTTCCAATTTTTGAACTATTTTTGCGTAGACAAAAGTATAAAAGCAGTGAAAATCATTAATAGGCAACCGTTCGATGGGCTGAATTGCACAAAACGCATGATCGCACCGGCTAGTTTGGTGCGCGTTGCTATTTATTTTGTTTGTCTGTTTGTTCGTATTATACAATGGCTGTATTCCAATCCCGGACGATTTTGGCCTTGGGTTCTTTGATTTCTAGTTTTACATCTGCGCGGATACCAACTGCAGATATACAGCCTAGGATCGAGGGACCTAGCATGGCTTTGGAGCGTCCTCGTAATGTCACTAGCATGGAATATCTGTACTGATTATCCCACATCCGTGCCATATTTAATACGTTTAGCAATCCCGCACCCTCTTGAATCTGGTCAGAAAATCCCCGGGAAATCCGAATCCCTGGGGGAAGTTCGCGGGAATCCCTAAATCCCAATCCGAAAATCCACGGTAGATCCTGAGACGATTGGCACCGTGCCAAATCCAGAATAACGCATTTGGGCGGTAATTATTGGAGTTTTCCCTGGGATCGGTTGATTTTGTACGTGCCTACGCTCGCTTTTTGTTGGATTAACATAATCCAGCACTGTATTTAAGGGCGGTTCCGAGAAATTTGTGATGGTGTGTTGCACGTAATTTTTGGGCTTCTCCGGGTATTTTTTCGCTGGGTGATGGGGGTTTTGCGGGGTTTTCCAAGCTTTTTTATGGATTTTCTCATTTCCCGGGGGATTTCTCGGTGGTAGGATTGACTGCGGGGGAAAATCCTCATGATGTTCCGGGAATTGCTGGGGGAAATTCTTCGCTGAATGGCGGGGGTTTTGCCGGGTTTTCCAAGCTTTTTTCTGGATTCCCTCATATCCCGGGGAGGGGATTTCTTGGTGGTAGAATGGATTGCGAGGAAAGATCCCCGGGATTTTTTGCTACTTGAAATCCCAGTGTTTTCGCGGGGAAAATCCTAATGTTCTACTTTGTTGGAGGAGAACTTCAAAATTCAGTGCATCAGTGGTCCAAGACATCCCAGAAGGGAAGTAGCCGTGGGTAAGGTTCCCCGGAAGCGCGGGTAAATATTCCCATTTCCCACTTAATTCCTGTATTTCAGGTGAAAAGAATGGCACTGAACTATGTGGTGACGGCACATAAATCCACCGTGATCACGCATGCGTTGGCCGGTGATTTCATACGGCCAAAAGAGATCTCGTTCGTGCTGGCCACAGCAAACCGGATTCAGCTGTTCCTGGTTGCTCCAGATGGGCTGGTACCATTCCGGGAATGTCCGATATACGGGCGTATCGCTTGCTTGAAGATATTTCGACGATACGATGAGGTCCGAGTTCATCGGCGACTTCTTTTTTGTTTTTTTTTTCCTAGGGGTTTTGGCTATTTCAAATACAAAAAAGGTCAAGACCGGCGGCGGCTTTTTTTTTTTTTTTGAGAAATTTTGTTACTAAAAGTACAAAAGACTTCTAATACTTCTTGGGTACACGATAGTAGTGATTTACACTGGTTTTGACTAGTTTGACTGGAAAAAAAGTTCTGGATTAAAGCTGTCCGAGGAGCTTTGGCTCCCCAGGACCTCACCACCATTTCTTTATTCTGCCCTTCTGTTGCAGTTTTCCTTGTATAGCTTTAGAGTGCTATAATTATAAATATATATTATATGTGTATGTATGTATACATGTATATATGCATGTGTACATCTACAGTTAGGTGTTTCTGTGTACTTACACACCACCACACACGCACACATACACAATTATAAATATATTTGTATATATACAATCAGGGCACCCACACTAGTCCGACTCGCAGCTTTTAAAGTCACGATAAAACCAAACATGACCCGGGTTTGGATGGCTGAAAAAGAAGCAGGTGTTGGAGTGGAAAACCCACAAAGGCGGCCAAAAAGTTACCACAATGAAAAAGATGAAATTAGCCCCTGGGAGGCAGAGAAGAAAAGAAAGGTGTACTCTGTCTTAAAAAGAAGATACACAGTAAGTGTGCTGCCAGGCTGGAATTGCAACGCAGGGAGGGGTGGTGTAGTGGTTAGCACGTCGCGTCCGTATGTGAAGGGAAGTGGTTCGATTCCCTCCTGGGTCCACAACACTTTTGCAAAATTGGTTCCGTTCACGACAGTTCTGAAATTGATTCTACATTTTTAGACTCGTATAATGATCGTGAACTACGCATCGTGGTTTCTATGAATTGTGTTCCTTGGCGCTGCAAAAAAAAATGGGGATTTCAGGAGTTTATCTAAAAACTGGTCAAATTTTTATTGTATTTCTCTTATTTCAGAATGTGGATAGTTTATTAGTTCTGACAAGCAAATATCATTTGGCTGTAATACAATGGATGCCAACTGGTGCTGTAGTGACACGAGCCTATGGACAAATCGCTGATCGAGTTGGACGACCGTCCGATACCGGAATGCTGGCTGCCGTACATTCCTCAGGGGTATGCCGGGTTTTTTTCATTTCTCTTGTTCAGTTTCAAGTCATTTTTTGTCACTGTAACTTAATTTTGTTTTCTTTGGACCGTCCACTTGTTCTGGGATTATGCGGCCCACCATCGGCCACAATTTTTTAACATTTTTTAGAAGAATGTTAAAAAATTGCCTATTTTAACCGGTTTTTTTATTAGAGGATCGGAAAGAATTCAATGCAACCGTTTTCAGCTTATGGTATTTCGACTCTATGATGGCGTACTAAAAATGGTCAAATGGGCTGAGGGCAGTGAATTGCGTGGTGTGAACATAACATGCGATGATTTGTTCATTGTGGACCTGGTTTTCCTTCCCGTTCCTGGTAAATACTCTTAAAAATTGCAAAAATGCGGGAAGAATTTTTTGGTTTTTTTTTGGGGGAGGGGCGAAAAATAAGAGTTTCAAACTTATGAGCTGATTGTAGCAACCAGGTTGATGCTTATGAATTTTAATTTTCGCCCAGAAATTTTGAAATTTTTACTATTTGTTGTTTCTTTTGGCACCTTGACAAATTTTGTTTCAAAAGATTTGTTTCTCAGAAGCTTTGCCTTAGAGTAATTTACGTTCCATTAATTTTCAAACGTCTCAGGATGCGCTTTTTATTTCAGGAAAGACCTAAAAGCAAACGATAGATGAGAACTGAATCTGTAGCATCCCAATTTGCCATTGAAGGGGGTTGTGAAGGACTTTAGATCCGCTGGAACTTTGGTTTAGCCCTCTCCCTTCCTCCCTTCCCCTCCTCTCCGCCCCTTCTCCTTCCTCATATTTCACTTGTCACTACAAAGCTGGTTAACTATATTTAACAAGAAGTAATATTCAGAAGCGATTAAATGGGAATAATTACTAAAATAAGCGAAAAAGAACTTGTAAAGGGAGGCATAAAGTAAATAATCTTAAAAAAGTGGTATAAATCA